ATGAATGGGAACACAGAGGAAGATGAGGAGATTAGAGAAAGTATGACAGGAGAGGCTCCTGGGTGACATGGAGTGAGGAAAAAGCTAGAGCATGTGTGACTATTGGGAGAGCATCTGTAAAGAAGGAGACACTGAAGTTACAGAGACAAGAACACCAGAGTCACTTGGAGGGCCAAGCTTATCTGGGCCAGAGAGCACAGCTCTAGATGGGCATGTATACTCAGATGCAGATGAGACTCTCCCATCTGGTAGCTATTTTTTGTGTGTATGCAGTAGGTCACCTGAAACCAAAAGGAGAATTAAGGGTAGTTAGTAATGACGGTGGCAGAGAACAGACTTTGAGGACCATGGGGACAGTTTGCAGAACTGAAGTGTTAGAAATTGGAGCAAGGATGACTCATTCTGCTTCACTGATAATCTCAGGTTGAAAACTTGGTCTTTTCCCGCCCTCCGTCTCAAATATGTATGAACAAATTGACATAACTGTCAAATGACAGGTATTTTTTGAGGTCTGACTGTGTCAGGCTCTTTGCCAAGATTGAGGGGTGCAAGATCAGGTTTGTGAATGTGAATGAGTGTTAGGATAGGAGGCAGACCATGGAGGCCCTTGGAGGCTATGGGAAAGATTTGGGATTTACACTGAGGAAGCCAGGCATCTCAGTGCTCCTAGGAATGCTTAACCCAATTACCCCGCTGACACCCTCCTCCCCAGCTGTGAGTGCTTAGGGACAATTCCTGGCCGAGCTTTCAAGAATTTTCTGTCTCTGGCTAATCCATTGCAGGCTTTCCAGGAATTCTGTTCTAACGCCGGTTATTTATTTCATAGTTGACCTGGTAACAGGATGCTGTAGAAGATTGTGGACTTGATAATCTTACTTCTATTCAAAAAGAATACATTTCCTTTGGAGCATCTCAGACAATACAAGAAAGGCATGCATTTTTTTCTTTGAAAATATAGGTTCAGTAGAGTCACTCTAGTCCATAATTTTCTCAGGAATGTGGGAATGTTTATCAAACTTTTCACTTGAGAAGGAAAGCTACTCTAATAGGATAGAAACACTGGAGCTTTTACTGAAGAAGCATGAAAATGTCAATATATCTAAAATCATGTCACTTAACGTGATCTATCACCTAATGAGATGGCTTGTTGTCTTCTAATTTCATTTCTTATTTGTCTGTGTATTTGTCCTGGAGATACTAGTCCTCATCTCCTGCTCACCAGGCAGGTCTGAGCAGCCAGTTTATAGAGCACATGACACTTCCACATAGGAGCAGCTGATTGGATGAGGGTGGAAACACATGACCCAAGATACCCTATTAGAACCTCATCCCAGATCTCTGGCTCTGAGAGACTTCAACAGCTGGTTGAGAGAAACTGAGCTCCCAGGTCTTATAGACAGAGCAGCTGAACACAGTAAACCAGAGGCTGGTGGTCCTTTGGGCCATGCATGGCCACAAAAACACCACATATGGAGGAGACTCAGCCAATGTACAGAGAATGGGAGAAGGGACTATGTAGGTGGAGGAGGCAAGAAAGCCCCAGGGGCCCCAGCAGCTTTCCTGCACAGAATCCCCTGTCCTGAGATGGTGGCTCTAGCCCTGCACATGAGTCATTGACTTATCCACCCTTCCTGACTTGTAAGTTTTAAGATTTCGTATGATTTTGCTGAGCCTGTCCTAATTTAGGATTGCAACATGGTCTAGGGTTAGGGCATAGCATAGGGTAGGGGCGTAGTCTAGAACTGATATGTAGGAATACTAGGGAAGATGTTTTACTTCCTATACTCACATGTTAGCTCCACTTAAAGACAGTTTTAAGGCATCCACAACACATAGGAAGTTACAGATACGTGGACTGAATCTAACAGTGGAATTGTTCTGTAATTACACATAATGATCATGAACTACTTTCTGTGCTGAGAAAGGCAAACCCATCCTGACCTCATTTCTCCTCACATTCTCAAATTTCCCACTATCCCAAACTGACCCAGATACATGACTTGAATAGATCAAAGGGAAAAAAAATAAGTCAAAACTCATAAAGGCTGGAAATCATGCTTTAACTAAACGGTTATTTTAAATATGCACAAAGCTGCCTAGAGTGAAACATTCCCTGTAACCACAGCACAAGCAAAGGATTCACCAAGCAAGAAGCTTGGGGACCCAGGGTCCAACCTTGGGATGCACAGTTCAAGTTTTAGACACAAAGACCTGATGGTGAGAAAATAAATACAGTTTAAGTAAGAGAAAAAAAGAACAAACTGTTATTAAATAGTATGTACTAGTGTTTTATTAGGACTTTGTTTAAGCCTCTTTTAAACCTCCAGAAAACTCAAGGCCATGGCTATACAAACTTTTCCTTAAAGAACCAGATAGTAAATGTTTTAAGTTTTACAAACCATGTATGGTCCCTGTCCTTTATTTTTGGTTTTGGTTTGTCTTGTTCACATGTTTATAACACTTTAAATGTGTAGGAACCATTCTGGGCTCCTAGGCCATAGGGCCTTAGCTGCACTTTCAGACATTCCCAGCTGTATTGAGTTTCTCAGAGACGGATCTCTTACCATTTTCCAGTGAAGTTCATTTGACTGTTGAACTCTTCAAAAATTCTTTATCATACTCAAATTTTGTTTTTCCCTGTAATTCCCAGGTTTATCTACTTCTGGCCTCTAAAGTTGGTAAGTTCTCTCCCTCCTCTTAAGCTCTGCAAGGAAGCAAAGCTCTCTGTACAGGTAAGCCTTCCCATCAAAATCATCCAACTCGGGGCTGGGGATTTAGCTCAGCGGCAAAAGCGCCTGCCTGGCAAGCGCGAGGTCGTGAGTTCGGTTCCCGGTACTGGAGAAAAACCCAAAAAAAAAAAAAAAATCATCCAACTCTAGTATGAAATTGCTTTACACTGCCAATGAACTTCCTAAAGTGAAGCATCCAGAATGTACAGTCCTAGAAATGTGGTGTTGCCATTGCTGACTCATTTCACCTGCTATGTAACCTAATCTGAAGGGAATGCTGCTGATAGCAGTAGCTGGGATGGTTGCTTTTAGCTGGCTATCTGACTAGGCTAAGCTTTAGCTAGAGAACTGATAAAGCCTTACTTCTGGGTTTTGTTTGTGAGGGTCCTTCCTGAGGAGGTTGGTGTGTGAGTTGGTGAACTGAATGGGAAAGATGGTCCCTCAGTATGGGTGGGCACCATCCAACCAACTGGGGGCTAAGATACAAGAAAAATGCAAAAAGTATACTGTTGGCATCCCAGGGGCTCAGCTTTTAGAAACCCTGTCTCAGGACATACTTTACCCCAACAATCATGTGCACCAACTCCCCTAAAAACTTCCCTCCTGTCATCTATCTGTCTAACTATCTATCATCTATCTATCTATCTATCTATCTATCTATCTAGTCATCTGTCCTATTGGTTGGGTTTCTCTGGAGCCCCTGAACACACTACCTATGTTTAAATTCTTTTGTTGTTTGTTTGATTGATTTTGTTTTGGTTTTAGCAGCTCTATTACCTGAGGGTTATGGTGTTCCATCTAAAATCCAAGTGTTTATTTTTAGTAGAAGTTCAGATTTCTATAATTGTATACCACCTAAGGATCACAGGCAGAGCTCAAGAATCTTTGTATGAGTGAGCGCCAGTTCAATCTTTCTGATTCTGTGAAATGACTGTAGAAGTCCTTTGAGGGGCAGGAGCCATGCCCCCAAAGGTAGGTGAAAAGTGTGAATCACACTGGAGAAGTCAGCTGCAAATTCTTATGTAGAGTTCTAATATTCTTTCTTCCAAAAGAGCAGACCAAGGCTCTCCTCTTGGGATTCAAATGAATTATGTATATCCAAAGAAACATTTTTAGGAAATCTGCAATCAGCCATGAGTTCCACCATCAGGGCCTCGTTCTGGAGTTTCAGTACCAGGCTAGTGGGCGCTGACAGCAGACAGACACTTGGAGGTGGTGATTGGGAGGGACTAAAGCAACCAAGCTATGTGCTTATTAGACAAATTCAATTGTATTTGAAGATCTTATCTTTAGCCTGGCATTGCACAGCACATTTGAACATTCATCTAAAATCTTTCCTTCTTTAATAACCTCCCTTTCATGTATCAGAGCCCCCAAAGCCATTTAAAGATTCCTACTCATTTGGCAAACTAAACTGTGGGTAAACACATGATCTATCTTTCCAAAGAATTCTAGTATTTTCCCAAGCTGTCAAAAATGCTTTCATTTTCTTTGCTGTTTACTGTAGAAAGGGGCACCGAACATCACAGCCCCATCACAAAGACCCTGCAAATTTATTTGCTTCCTTATAAATTTTACCTTAAAAACCACCAGACACACGAGGTTTCAACTCAGCATAGTGCCGGCACTGAAAATAGTCAACTCCAGGATCCAGGATCCAGGACTGTGCTGTCCTGTCCAGTGGTTTACACTGGGTGCAGTCCAGAGGCCCCAGCACAGTGTTTGCCTCTGGCCCATCTCCACCACTGCTTCTCCAATGCTTATGCAGTGATGCAAGAGCACAAACTCTTCTTTTCACAGGGCTGCCTGAGGGACTTGGGTGAGCCACACACAGGGTAAAGGTGGCGTGTTTCAAAAACAATGACAATAAAGTACATAAATACAAACCCTCTAGTGCTACAGTCAAGAGGAAGAAGATGCTTCCATTTCAGTGAGTAGATGTGGGATAGTAAGGAAAGGGAAAAAGAATTTTTAAAAACATAGCTTTGAAAATAACTTGAGACCTAAAATCTTAATTCATCTGGAAACATATGAGATAGGTCTTGATAGAAACAATGAAGACATTTTCCCATGGATATGCAAAGATGGTCTCCTAAGAGGAAACCATTTGTTTTAGGGAAATGAAGAGAATAGATGTTGCAGACAGTATCTCAGCCTCTCCACTATCGCCAGAGTCCAGAAACACCCACAAGAAGAATCCACATCTTCCACTGGCACTACATTCTGCAGAAGACCTATGCCCAGGACATATTTAAAAGAAGTAAACAGCACTTTCATCCAAAAAGTCCAGCACACATTTATCTAGTGAACAAGTACAAATTTAGCATTTTTAATCAAAGTTCTTGCTGACAAGTGTGGAGAAGTATATGCATATATACATATATATATATCAAAATTGAGAATTTACAAATAAGATTTTATGCATTTAGTCTAGCATTGCGTGAGTCCATAGAATAAATCTCTAGTAAGGGATATTTCTGTAGGTGGTGCTTGTAATTCAGTTTTGCATACAAAGAGATCTGAAGCTTAAATTCAGCTGGTTTTAGAGGAATCAAAAATGAGAAAAATAGAAAGCGTTCTGTGAAGCAAGCACACTATGCTTATGCTGTTCCCTGGAGATTCTGGAGTCTGAATTTTGTGCCTTAATTGTCTGGAAATCATACTGGATCAGTTGCTGATTTCTGATCTCCCTGGGATGTGCTAATACAAAGAATGTGAAATTGAAGTTTCAGCAAGTCTGAATCCCATTCTGTTCAGGTTCCATGCCAAAAATGGTGCTGGATTCCAGACTGAGGATGACCACAATGTTCAGTGTCTATCATGTGGCCTTCCTGACACTCAGGTGCAGTGGGGCTTAGGACACCATTTTTCTCCTGTTCACAGCCTCTAGTGCAAGTTAGTCGGTGAGGCTGGGCAGGCAGATTTGCAGTGCAATGGTTGGTCCTGTGGTCACCACTTTCCCGGGATGGAGACCCCACACTCATACCAGCCCACATAGTAGTAGGGGGTGCCAAAACCGATGTGGCCAAAGCTGACGGGCTCCTGGCGATACTGGCGGTAGTAACCTGGAAGGATGATGGGAAAGAGAGGGGAAAAATATGCATGAAAGTCACCTGACCAAAAGGAGACTTCTCCTCCTTAAAACTTCCTTTTAACAGAAACTTTGTGTAAACTGTTCTTACTTTACTTCTGAATAGAAGTGTTACTTCTGAATAGAAATAGCCATTTTCGTGAGGTTTACTCAAGCATGATTTTGGGGGAGAATTTAACCATTCTCTTTCTCTCTCCCAACAAAATAAAGTACTTTAAATCAATCACTAGAAGTACTCACCAGGGACAGACCCTGATCTGGGAAACAGAACCAAACAAGATTCCCACCTGGCTCTCACTGAGGCCTGCAGCCTGCCAAATTTCCAAACTCTGTGGTTTTAATGCATAGAATTTGGGGTAGACTCTCACAACTTCCAATGAACTCTCTCAAAGGAAGGAATACTATAGTATTTCCAGTCACTTCTCTTCTGAAGTGGAAGGAATGCTTAAATCTACTCATAATTTTTTGAGAAATTTATCAATGGCTTCCACTCTTGGTGTTGTGTACTCTTGCCAAATAAATGGATACCTACTACTCTGACAGTCAGCATACTAATTAATCAATAAGGTATTTTTAGATAAGATTAAAATTTACATTAGCAGAGTGAGGAAAGCATATTACTCTCTGCAATGAGGATGAGTCTCACTCAGTTAAAAGTGAAAAAAGAAAAACACTTAATACCCCAAACTCTACAAAGTAGAGGGAACTCTAACTCCAAATAACTTTCAATTTGCACTGTAACATCAGCTCTATGCTGGGCCTCCAGCTTGCGTGCTTACTTTGCAGATTTTCAATACTGCCATCCTCCATGTGAACTAACTTATCTATTCTAGATAGATAAGTTCTATTGGCCCTGTTTCTTTAGATCAGAGAGCCCTGATACACTTGTTTTGCTGTTTTATGTATTCTAATTCTTTCAAATGAGTACTCCATGTACCAGCCTACAATATATTTTTTTCCAAAATAAGAAAGTTGATAGATTAACACATCTCATGTCGTGAAAATGCCACATTAGTGAATTGAGAACTTAATGGAAGAAGTACTGGATTGCATTCCATTACTCTGTTTGTTTATTTCCCTGGTGGATTGAGAGAGTTAGCAATATACTACCAGTTGCTAACCCTAAAGATCAGTATACTTGCTCTCACATTATAATGTCATCATCAAATACGGTACACTATCTCTGAAGCCTGTCCTGGTGGATAGGTTTGCATGTTCATTTTTGCCTTCTCCGTGATAGTACTCATGCCAGCCTCCCCAAGGAAGCCCTCCATTCTGCACATTGAGCAAGTCTTTACCACTCAGTATAGACTCTCCCCCTGCTGAAGATCCCCAAGAGCCTCAAATAGCTGCCTCCTTCCTACAATAATTGTAACATGCACAATTATCTGACAATAGGACAATCATAAGAAATAGCATGTCATTATATGTTAACATTTTTACTCTTATTTATCTTTTACATATTTATTTTAACTTGCCAGTTCATAAAGCATGTTCCTGGGGATAGAGATTTTATATATTCCTTTATACTACTAACTCCTCAAGAATCACCCAAATCCAGCACATAAGAATATTTTGATTCCTTGATTTATTTATATTTTTTATCATCCAAAGTATTCCCAACATCTGTCTTCAAATCATAAATTGAAGGTAGAGCTAAAGTGAATTTTCTCCTTGCATATTCCTCTCCCATGCCCCTTGCCCAGCACAATATAGCAAGCATTAGTCATATTACCTTGAATCTTAGGGAGGCCTTCTATATAAGACTGAGGCCCTGTTCTCCCATCAAGATGTGAATCCACAAATTGACAATGGTCTTCACCTCTGCCCCAGCTGTCTCCAATGCTGTAGAATGTATCTGCATAAAGGAATATAATAAGTCACTGACAAGTCACAGAACGTTGCAGCTAGCTTAGGAGTTGGAACAAGCTTTAAAGAATTTGAATTGAGCACATTACTTAAGCCATTTCTTTCATGTCTGAAAATGACGATAATGGCAATAACTTCATGCAGCATTGTAATGACTCAACAAGACCATGTATACCAAATACTTAGCAACTGTTCAGAAGGTAGAAAGTATGAACAAAATACTTTCAGCCTATAAATGATTAGACTTTTTAATGCCTCAGTTTTTAAAAAAACAAAATAAAGAAAACTATTTTATAGAGAATAAATTGTGAAATAATTATGAAATGCAGGGAGATCTACATAAATAGAAGGATCTATTTTCATGCATATTGAGAAGGAGGGTGGGAGACTAGCACGAGACGCTGTCCGTGGTTCTGAACCACAGCGGCACAATAGGGCAAAGTTGTGTCTCCTGCTCAGGATACCAGAGACAGTTGTGCATACTCTCCTAGCAGTTCTGAAGAATGAGAGGGAAAGGGTGAAAGAGAAAAGAAAGAATGGAGAGATAAAAACATACAGTGATTTTGAGGAGAGGCAGATACATGTAAATTTCCAGAATGGGGAATGTGGAGGGGGGGGTATTTTTCACACTGTTTTTCTTCTTCTTTACTTTCTTTTTTACTCAAGCTGTTCTTGACTCCGACAAAATTATTCTTTGTGGACCACCTAACATAAGTTTTAATGTTTTTTTTTTTTTTTTTTTTTTTTTGGAGAAAAGGTCTCGCTAAGAACTTCAGGCTGGCCTTAAACTCATTAAGTATCCCAGCCTGATCTCTAACTCAAAAGTGATCCTCCTGCTTCAGCCTCCCAAGTGCTGAGATTATTGGATCAAAAGCAAAAAATAGGCCTTTTCATAACTAACAGAATTTTGGGCTTCATTTCTAAAATGTAGTTGAGTTTCAAAAATATATCTTTGAGTTCCAAGGTAAAAACTAATAACAACAAAGTACAGCCCATGAAACTGATTCTTATTTGAGCAAGACAGAGCCATGACAGGTCCAAGCCTCAAGTACATTCTGATGCATCTGTTGTGTCAAGTTAGCACCTGGAAGATCAAAATTTTCTACACCTTCCACAGCCAACCATCCCCAAAGACCTACCTTTCAGGTTGTCACTGAGGTAGATTTTGTACCTCAGTGAATTACAAAGAGTGACTCCCACAAACTTTTTATACCATGTCCGCTTCACATACTGTCGGCCATGGCAGTCTGTGTATCCTGGGTCATGTTTGAAAGCAAATGGGATCCAGATGGGCTCACCACCTTGACAACACAAAGCACATCGTCTCAGTGACAGTGCCAAGTGCTGTTTATTCTTGCACAAAGTACTCCACACTGCCCTCATTCACTGTCCCTTTCCCTTCTGTAATGCCACCTTGCAAAGTCTTCCCATCCCCAGAGAAGCCTCTTTGTTTTCTCTCTTCTTTTTCAATACTAAATAACAACGGGGGCTCCTTTTATGTAAGCACTTTGATTTAAGGTGTTTGTATTTCAATAAAGGGTTCTCACAGTTAAGGATAGCCTAGGTTGCAAAGAAAATCAGCCACAGAGGCAAATGTAGCCCTTTGAGACTAAGGATTCCTATCCCTAAGTCCCTCAGTAAAGACCCTTTCTCATCTTGCCCCCTGTAGGGCCTGCCTTAAACTTAAGAGAGATTTCTCAGTTTGTGTGAAAACCAACAAGTAGAACTTCACTGTACACTTAACACATTTTGTTATCTTTCCAGTAATTTAAAATATTCTTATGGGTTGTGTAAATAAAGCATCTATTCACAGATACTTGGCCACCACAGCATGCTTTTTCATAGACATTGACTGCCATAGTCTTATTTTAGAAAGTCCCAGGTCATTTTTCCATAGATTAAGATGGAAAATGATTAGAAATTGTCAGAAAATTATGAAAAGCCAAAAATAGTCTAGCATTTCTACTTGTGAGTGGTCACAGTCATCTCATATTCCGTATTCAACTTGATAATCAGAGTGCCGAGATCCTCAAAAGGACAAACGTACCTGGAGGCCTCACAACAAGGAGGGGATTGTCTGTAGAATAAAAAAGAAATAATTGACTTTGAATCCCATCTCATAATCATACAAATGTTGCAGTGTTTATTGTAACTGAAAGAGCTGACCAAGCTGGCATATAGAAAAAATAAAATTTTATGTATTAGATGCCAAATTTTTCCCTTAGTTTTTATTTCCAGAGCATTTTCTTTTGAGAAATACTCTTTTAAGTTAACTCCCTTGTTATAGACATAGAAACTGAAGGTCCCTGAAAATAATATTTTCATACTAGGTGATGCATAAAATTCTGTTTTTAATTTTACTTTTCATTAGTACATGTTTGCAGGACATGTCCCCTTCTCTTACATCCCCTTCTCCTCCTGCTCTTCATCTCTTGGCCTACTTCCTCTTTGCAAAAG